ATGTCCGTGTACGAACATCGCCATTCGACATGATCGATTCGTTCGTGTTGATGTTCGATTTCATCAAATATGTTCAAGTATATTCGTTTCCAATGTATATTCTCAACTCCTTCTGAATTCTCGACTTTCAAATCCGATTTCCAATGGTCAAGTTAATATGCAACTTCTAGCTTCTTGGTGTCGTCTAGCCAATCAAAGTGTGATTAATGATCGTAATACATTCAATAGTGCTCTATTCATTTCTGGTGAAGTTCTTCCTTTTGAACTTTTCAAGAAACAAATGCAAGCATTAGTAGAATTATTTACTTCGTCGACGACGAGCAATTTTTTTCGTCTATTAGATATCAACAGAGAATCAATATCGAACAATCTAATCGACAATGGTTATCAAACGCTTATACTACGATTAGTTCGCGGTATTTTTCCCAATATCACTTTGATCAGTACATATATCTCGTACGACAATTATACATGTAATTGTTTACTCTCAACTAGTTGTACTGGACCATTCACCATTCGTTATCGATCTACTCAGTCATTTTTATACACATTAGCTGGATTTCGAATTGGTTGTTACATTGAAGAAGCAACTCTTCAGTCGACTCTTGAATGCTACTACAATCAAAGCTGTCTCGATACTTTTCACACTATAATAGGTATCGATCAATTATTTCAGATAGTGGCTCTCGATTCAATTCCAACATTAAGTAGATTTACTGCTAGTTCATTCGTAAGTGATATAGTTGCAGTTAAGATGGTTGAAAACTGGACCAGTACATTTAATCATGTAGCATTCTATGACAGTTGTAAACCTACTAAGTGTGTATATTCTTACAGGAGCAAGGATGAATTCCTGCGTGCCATTATTACAATTATTGGATTAGTCGGTGGCTTAACAATGATTTACAAAGTTCTGGTTCCTAACATTGTCAAATTTCTGTTGCATCGAATTTATCAAACGTCAACAACTATGCAAAGTAATTTTCTTTGCTTTTGAAAACCTGAATCATAAAAGTGAAACTTACATTACATCTCGAGACTTAGTGAACATGAGAAGTTTTTTTTTTTTTAAATTGACATGAGTAGAGGTCAACCTTCAATCAACTGAAAAAATTGATCAATTTCGATTGAAGAAGTTCTCTTATTTTCAGAGTTGTCCTTCAGTGAAAAATTTCATCGATTATGGAATAAAACTAAGAAAACAATTGTTAATTTGAATTTGTTCTACACACCACCGGTTTCCATCATCGAAGCTGCATACAAAAGAAAAGTGCAAATTATTTCAACACGTGTCTTTATCATTCTTCTCATTACTTCCCTTATTATACTGATTATTTATGAATCTCAAATACCTGTCACACAAATAATTACTATTCGAATGCCCTCATACAACCAGTATACAGTTATCTTTAATAGATATTCTCAAATACTCTCGTGTCCTTGTACTAATATCTCTATTCCATATGATCAATTCATTGAGTTGAAAGTTACTCGTTTTCATCAAATATGTCAAAGCATCTACGTAACAGCGAGTTGGCGGGAGTTGATGATTAAATCAGCTAAAGGAGATATTTTTCTTCAAGATTTTCGTATTATTGGTCCAACTTTCTTTCGTGCCTTGAGTTCGCTATGCAATATGACACGAAGAGCCATCAACGATGAACTGATCATATTCAATGCTAAACATTTTGTCACAAGTCATGTCATGAATATTGATCTCTTTCAAGTAGAATCTCAATCATTCATTGAATCATTTATCTCATCAATTACAAATACATTTATACGTTCAATTCGACTTGTACAGGATACTACTCAAGGTAATGCTCTTTTGTCAATGGCGACAGGTAATATTTTCTACACTCTCGTGCCTCAGAATGGTGATATTATCATCAAAACACTATATTCTAATCGTATCATGAATGCATCATTCAATTGTACTTGTCAGCAAAAAGGAGCATGTGCTACTAAAGCAAGTGTCTACTTGACAAATTCGAGCAATTCTCGAAATTTTTTACAATTTCCAATAGAAGGCTTGCTTATCGGTTGTTATATTATGGAATCTCTTTTGCAATCTAGTCTTATCTGTTTTTATAATCAATCCTGTATCGATACATTTAAGACTATGATAAATTCTCCTATAGAACTCAACACAAGTGCACTTGATCGAACTTTACCAAGTCGTTTTGAACCAGATTCAGCAATTGGTAGCATCGTCGCACGATTAATGGTGGAAGAATGGATGAATATAACATCACACAAGGCTTATTATGATCGATGTCAACCAATCGCATGCACTTATTCATATGTAAACAAAAATATATGGCTTGTTGTGATCAGCACTACTATTGGATTGATCGGAGGTCTAACAACCATTTTGAAAATTATTGTACCTCTTGTTATTAAATTGCTCTGTTATTGCTGTTACAATCGG